GGATGCTTCGGCTTTGTTCGAGGCTCCCATCCCGAGGAAACCACGTGTTCGTGTCTGTTCTTCTACACTCATGGGAGACCCGCTGGGCGCGTGAAAACCCACAAGTCTTAATTCCCGATGACTGCCTAGGCAGCTCCTTGTAGTTTGTTGACAAGATTTTTTTGGTTTGTTATAGCCTTCTTCCTAGGGTTGAGGGAATAACTGACCTAAGGTCACCCAACTAGCTTTTATGCCTAAGGTAGGAATAGAACTCCTAGTTTCTAGGCTAGTGTCTTAATCATTATGTCAAGCTAACTTTTTGAGGCTTCAGTGAATGGAATCTATGGGGGTATGGAAATACCTTAAATATTTTTTTTCTCTTATTTTTGGAATCCATTTTAATCAATGGGTAAAAGAATGAGAGTGTATGGAGAAATCCAAAATACTACAAATAATTATGGAAGTTATACTTATTAATTAGTTTTATTGGGTCGAACATAAAGTATTTATGCACCTGAGCATTTCCAGTACTGAATTATCTTTTAGATGGGGTTCCCTTTATGAGTGGGGTCAGAACACCTCCCCTTAATAAGACTCTGTTCTCTCTTTCATATCAATCTCTACACTTCAGTTACAGTAAACAGGAGGATTCTGAGAGAGGGAATGAGGTGTATTAGATCCTCTCCCATCACCTTCTTACTTCAACTCATATTCCCACCTGGCCACCAGTCTTTCCTCTGGAAACTGCTAAATAATTAATTGGTTCAGATGCAGGAAAGCCCCTGGCAGTAAACTGGTTTCCTTGAATTGCTGAAAAGAAATTACGGGTTTATGATTCCCCCCTCTTGCTTCCAATATTACCGCACTGGAATTAATACATTCTAGATATCTACAAATTAAAATGGTACTAATACTGTCCTTCCTGCAGTGGAATGAGTCTTGAACATATAAAAGCAAATGTGATATAATTCTAGAAAAGCCTCTTGGAAATTATAAGAATGAATCCCTTGAAATAGTTTCTAGATAGCAGTCTTGATGCAATTATCTAGATCAGTGTTGTTATGAGAACCTACATCTGTTGTTTCAGATGGATGTCTACCTAGGAGGGTACTCATAAGCAGTGCTTTTTTTGTAAAAAAAAAAAAAAAAAAAAGGTGCCGGAACTCATACATGTCATATAACCTGCCTTGCCTACCCTACAAGGTTCCATCCAAAAACGGTGCCGGAACTCCATTCTAGGTATTCTATGACAAAAAAAGTTTCAGCTGTTGCAAAATGAATTTCATACTGAAAAAAATATCAAAATAAAAACCAGTATAGTGTGACGCTGTTTATAAACTTGATTCAGCAATCTCTAATCATAAATGGTAAGTGACATCAAGAGATTAAGATCTGATTTGGATTAGAACAGTGGTTCTCAACCTGTGGGTCGGGACCCCATTTGGGGTCGAACGACCATTTCACGGGGGTCGCCAAACAAAGCTGTCCGCCATTTTTTCCCCCTTTTCTTTGGCCACGCCCCTGGCACCCGGTGATGTATAAGTGGTTGGGGGTCACCACAACATGGGGAACTGTATTATGGGGTCACGGCATTAGAAAGGTTGAGAACCACTGGATTAGAAGGAACCTACACAATAGCAACTGTCCTGGGGGCAACTCTTGCTCTCTATAAAGTCACTTGAAAAAGAGAAAAAGAGATCCTTTAACTGAGCTTAAATTCTAATCCCCTGGGGGGATGGGGGGGGGTTTGGCAGCATTACCTAATTTGCCATTGCCTTCTCCCAGAATATTAAGTACTTAAAACTATTTTGTAAATTATAACTATTTTTTATTTCTTGGGACCTTGGTACATTATTGATAAACCTCACCTACTTTATATATTGAGTTCCAAGGTCTACAGACACAGGTTTATAAACACATTGATGTTGAAAAAGGACTGCGCTCTCATACCATCTCTGCCATCATTCATACAGTTTTACTTTATACAGTTAGTATCAATATGCTTCTATTTGCTTTTTTCTAGGAATCATTCAGGATTTTTCTTTCAGGATGAACTTAATTAACTTCTTCTTGGGATCCTATTTTACCACCCGTTATGAGAAATCAGCAAAGGCATAGAAATAACATGTCCCTAACCAGGGCTTTTTTTCTCATAGAATGCCCAGAACGGAGTTCTGGCACCTTTTTTGGATGGAACCTTGTAGGGTAGGCAAGGCGGGTTGTATGACGTGTGTGAGTTCCGGCACCTTTTTTTTTTTTTTTTTTTTTAGAAAAAAGCACTTTCCCTAACTAATATTCATCTTGGTATTACTCAGTGTATTTGTACTACAGATCCATTTTTTTTCTTAAGTGTAATAAGTGAGTGGTTGGACAGCAAAGAAGAAGAGATCATTGCATCACAGAATGATACATAAATGAAGTTATAACATGGACCTTGATTTCTTTTCTGTATGTAAGAATGGAATGTATCTCTAGCATCCTGAAAACTTATGTGGTGTACCAATCAGTGCAGCATTTCCCTTGCATTGCTTTAGATTAGAACACAGAAAAAGAACTCTTTTCTCCAAAAAACAAACAAAAACAAGTTAGCTCCTGGGCTAGAAGTTTCCTTTACAGCAAGGGTGTAAAACTCGCCACATCACATGACGTGTTGCGATGTATCACGACTTTTTCCCCATTGCTGGAGCTGCGGTGGGCACGGTTTAGGCATGACGCATCCGGCCTGTGGGTTGGCAGTTTAACACTCCTGCTTTACAGGTTTTACTTAGATTTTTCTTATAATTACTTCAGGGTGTTTAAGCAATCACTTAATTTAATTTTTACCCCTCACCAGACATTCACTCTATTCCAGCAGTTCTCAACCTGTGGGTCGCGACCCTTTTGGGGGTCGAACGACCCTTTCACAGGGGTCGCCTAAGACCATCGGAAAACACATATTTCCGATGGTCTTAGGAACCGAGACACCGCTCCTCTATCTGTCTCCGCACGGCTTCGAGATGGGGGCCATTGCAGTGCCGGATTCATTTCTGTGGAGCATCTCCTAAGGGAGGCTGTTCTGCTTCGCAGCCCTTTCTGCGGAGGAGGCTGAACTAAGCTCTGCCGGTGCTGTCACCCTCTTCTCTCTCTCTCTCCCCCTCTCCCTCTGCCTAGGCGCTTCTCCAAACAGGCTGGGCGGAGCCGGCGGAGTGGCCTTCCTGCCCCCCTCCCCAGCCAGCTGGAGCTGGGCAGGCCAGCGACCTTCGGAAGTGAGGCGAGGACAGGCGAGGCATGCTGAGCCCCAGGCGTGGCGGGTGAGTGGGCGGCGTCGGTGCGTGCTTAGAGAGCCCTTAGGGTTGGGGGTCATCACAACATGAGGAACTGTATTAAAGGATCGCGGCATTAGGAAGGTTGAGAACCACTGATTTAGGAAGTGTGTTTCAATGTGTTTTTTCTAGCAAGGCTTACTCCTAAATTAATATATGCCTAAGATTTCAACCTAAATTGCTTTCACATTCTCGGAGAAACTGGAAACTATTACACACAGAGAAACAGTGAGAAAATTCAACATCTCTGTTTTTTTGATAGTCTAGTCCTGGAATGGAATGTGAGAATGAGGAGGGGCTTGTGGTGCTCTCTGAGTTTGATTGTTTTCTTGCATATGTTTCATTAGCCAAACTAGGCAGCGTTATCAGAGAGTGGGGTATGTTCTCAATTTATATTCTAGTGGCTTATACTGTTTGGCAGTTCTTTGATTGGGGTATTGCTCACTTCTTGACTGTTGATCTGATAGTAATCTTGGTGTTAATTGCTGGTGGGGAGATGTTTTGATTTTTTTGTTTTCTTTTTGGCTTGTTGATTGTCTCTTTTACACAGTATGTAGATGATGTTTGTATCTATGGATCTATTCTCTGTGATAATGACCTTGGGTGTGTGTGTGTGTGTGTGTGTGTGTGTGTGTGTGTGTGTGTGTGTGTGCTGCCCAGGAAATGATCAGATAAAAGGGGGAGGAGCCTGTAACTGAATAATGGGCAGAGAAAGAAACTTAGAAAGGATCTGCTCTAACTAATCAGGCAGTATAAATGTGTACTTTCAAACTTGCAAGATTCTGTTAATGTAGCCTTATAATAAAATAGAAATAGTTCATCTTGTTACGTTTCTTGCTGCTCTATCTGGGATGCTGACAAGCCCCCAGGTTTCACAGTAAAAATCTTCATAATTAATGTAATGAACTATTTTCAGAGCTTTTAGCAATCAGAGGCTCAGTCATTGTGTCTCCAAAGAGAGGCCAGACACTGTAGAATTCTGTAAGATCAGTAGGATAGGGATGGAGAACCCATCCACCTCCTTTTTCCAATTAGGAGAGCAAGGATGAGAATCAAAGCTCGTTACAGAATATTTACTTTGCTGCAGGATGCCCTGTTTGATTTGCTTCTCCCACTGAAAAGAATCAGTTCACAAGTATTGTGGGAAAGGCCGTTCTATGTCAGACAGCCTGGAGAACAGTTGTACAGTAGTTTGTGGACATTGCAATTGTCAGTTGGGTTCCCGTATCAGGCTGCTGTCAATAGAAATATGTGGAAATAATGTTTTTATAGAAAGGTTTCTTTTAAAATCAAGAATACATCTACATCCTGGCAGGGAATTACTGGGCGGTTTTTAAATTTCTTTGGAGTGAAGAGAAAGCCTTTCTGCTCTGGCTAAATTCCAACAAACATTTCTCCATCCTTCAATGAACGAAGGAGTGGTTGAGGGAAAACTATGATTATTGCCTATATTATTATTTAAGTGTTAGTGTCTGGCAGAAAAAGGGGGGATAGTCAATAGTCATGACATCTTACTGTAGCCAGGCTGTTATGAATTTGTTTGCTAGGAAATAAGCTGCACAGACCGCAACTGCGCAAATACACATAAGGATTTTAGCCTCAAAATGAACTTTGTCTCTCAGTGTTCTGAGATCCATTGTACCTGCAGATGCTTTGTATTCCTGCAGCAGTTGTGTTGAGCTTTTTAAATTATAACAAAAGACATAGGTGGTCACTGGAGCCTTTTAAAACACATTTATTAACAGATGCAGAAAAAATAAAAATAAAACCATATTCCTCACCACCCCCAAATCTAACCACCTTTCACACAGAGTAAATCCATCTCTTGCCTGCCTGTCCCACCTCCCGGTGCCTCCATAGAAGTTACAGGGAAGGTCACCTGCTCAAGGCTCATGGGATAGTACAGTCAGTGGGGTCCAAAGAGACGGTGACATCCGCGTTGCACTGAATGGTGCTGGGCACACCAGGCAGTAGCTGGCAGCTTTGCAGTTCTGGAGCCACTTCCTTCACACATACTGCCTGCAGAAAAGACAGAAAAGAAAGACAGGTGCAACACAGCAGGCAAGGACCTGAGCCTCATGTACGTACTTGGAAGTATGCCCTATTGACCTCTTGTGTAATAGGGTTCTTGGAGAGAAGCAGTTTGTGAAGATGGGGTTGCTGGTCTCCCTGGGCTTTTAGCAATTCTACTGATACTCCAAGAGCCACTTTAACGAAATGTAACCCACACTGAACTGCACTGAATTTATTTCTGAAGAAATACATCTTGCACGGTGGTGCAATATGAATAATAGTACATATGCTTGATACAACTACATTTTTTTCTTGCTCATAATTTCCATTGCTACCAATTTTCTATCCGTAAGGTGATTTTTCCAAAAGGCAACTGGACTTTGTTTTTCCTTGAAGACATTTCTCATCCAAGAACTTTTTTCAGCTCTGACAGAAGCAGCTTCTAGGACGAGAAGCAAAACGTCTTCAAGGATAAAAGGAAGTCCAGTTGCCTTTTGGAAAAGTACCTTTGGAACAACCATGACCTGAATGACTGAGAATCTCCATAGATGGATTTCCTATGTTGTTTTCACTTTTGGTTGGTTCTCCAAGGAATTAGGAATAGAGCAGCTATGGTACGTATTACAATAAAATAAAATGCAATACAGTACAAGGCTAACATAAACCAATGAACATAAAGTAGATGCATCAAGTTTGTTTGTTACAACAAATGCAATATTCAATGCACTAAATGCATCAGAATATTCACTGCGCATATAAATGGGTGGAATTCCAACAAAAAAATACCTTACATAAATTGTCTTCCTCATTCCAAGCAACTTTCACAAAAAGAGAGGAAAAATTCTTTGGCGATTTAATTGCCTTGGCCTGAAAAGCTACTTGGCAAAGGAAGAAAGCTAGAGTCAGACTTAAAAAACAGAAGATTTGACTTACCAGAGGGGACATTATGTGAATAAATATTTATTTGAATATGATTAAAAGAATGGATAATCCTTAGATATAATTAGACTTTTATAATAAGAAAGACATGCTTTATAATTAGAATAGCACTTTTTCTTATGCGAAATATGAAAATACGAGGATGGCTTGTATAAATGAAATTCTTAGCTACATAAATGTAACTAATCTTGAGAAAACTAACTGACAAAGATATTCTGAATATTGATGGGAAATTAAACTTAAATAAGAACATGAAAAACAGGATATTGATTTAATAAGGAGATTTTAATTGCAAATACATTTGAAATACAAGTTGGTTAGAAAAGAATGTATAAACTGATATTGTTACTTGTATAACACTAGAAAATATGATGATGACGTTTATATTCAATTTTGTATGTATTAATAGTAGCAAGAATTGTATTTGCATAGTGTTGGGAAAATGAAAACAATTTGGAAAGAAAGGATCAGGGGAAAAACACTGGATTGTGCAGTACTGAACAGATTTATATCGAAGAAGTTAATGTTAAATATGTGAACCCAGACGTTGTTTACTAAGCACTAAAGATTGTAATTGTTAAAAATCAATAAAAAATTTTTTTAAAAAAGAAGATTCACTGCGCGAGACAAAATCCAACTCAATAGCGCACTCTTCACCGACGGGCGCTCCTAAGCCTCCTCCCTCCTCTTCCCCTCCGAGTTTACTCTTCGTCCCCTTCCCGGAGCCCTGCTACTTCTTACCATGTTGCGCAGCCCGCCGAGGTTCTGCCGCGAGTCGGACATCGCCAGAGAGGATGCGGCGGGGCCGTCCTCGGCACTACTGTCCGCGACGCTGTTGTCATCGGAGCGGCGCATGTAAGGCGAGCGGCGGATGCCAGAGAGAAGCCCCGACGCTCTGCCCACCGAGTAGTAGCTGGGGCCGGCCGCCTGCTTGTACCACGCCTCGGCGGGCGGGCTGAGCAGCAGGGCCAGGGTGAGGCTGAGCAGCGCCAGGGTGGGTGGTCCGCCCATGCTGCGAGAGGCTGACGATGACTGGGTTGGTGGTCGCCATCGGCGCCTCCTTTTATAGCAGCGGGGAGGCAGGACAGGAACGGGGAGCAGCGAGGCGGCTCTGAGACCCCGGAGCGAGCGGCGGAGGCTAAAGCCGCGCCGAGCACGTGACCCGGCGGGACTCTTCGGGAGGAGGAAGCGCCCTGCTCCGCCCGGCGGGAGGCTCCCAAGCGTGACTTGCTTTAACCAACCCTCTGCCCGCGTCCGCTCCGCCGGCTTCTCCCACGAGTTGAAGCTCCACAAGTCCGTCTCCCGTTTCTCCTTTGGCCGGAAGAAACAGACTCGAACGACGACGCGCTGGGGTCGCTCCCCCGTCGAGAGAGGACGAGACCCAGAATTAAGATTCCTTGGTGGCGGGGGGGGGGGGAGAGAAGGGCGAGCGAGCTCCCTCGACGACTAAAGTTGCAGCAAACACCCGTGGCTAACCGAACCCCGTGAGTCACGGAAGCCCGTTTCCTTTTCTGCCCTTGTAGGTACACCGAAACATCACATAACAAGAAGACTTGTAGCTGGATAGTTTCTGGCTCAATGGATCGTGGGAACGTGGTCAATATTCCTGCCACATCCTTCCCTAATACTGCATTGCCACGAAATCTGACTTTGGCACATTAATCTAAAGATAAGCTCAGTGGTCTGGGTTTTTCTGGCTTTATTTCTCAAATCTCCATGTGTAAACAATTTAAAATCTGTTTCTACAAGAGGTTCTGATAGTTAACAAGGGGTTAACTGGGTCGCTGTCAAGCCCTTTCCAGCGTTGTATTTATTTGCAATGCAAATATCCATATTTTTTGCTGTCTGTTGTAAAGGTAGTACTCAACCACCACAATTGAGCCCAAAATTTATATCGCTAAATGAGACATTTGTTGAGTGAGTTTTGCCCCATTTTACGACTTTCTTGCCACAGTTGTTCAGTGAGTCATTGCAGTTGTTAAGTTAGTAACATGGTTGTTAAATGAATCTGGATTCCCCATTGACTTTGCTTGTCAGGTCACAAAAGCTGTTTACTTGACCCCCCCCCAGCACTGCAACCATGATAAATATGAACCAGTTGCAAAGTGTCTAAATTTTGATCACATGACCATGGAGATGCTGCAAGGATTGTAAAAGGGAGAAAAACAGTCATAAGTCACTTTTTTCAGTGTCATTGTAACTTTGAATGGTCACTAATGAGCTATTGTAAGTCAAGGAATACCTGAAACTGTATGTAATCCTTGATTCTGGGATGGGAAATTGTCTCGTGCTAAAACAGGATGGTGAGAATGATTAATTTTAACAGAATACTTGTTCTTTCAAGTAGACTGTTCATGGCTATAGTAAAATGCTGATCAATTACCAAGGAGAATATAAATCAGGAGCTCTGGTAGCATCTTCTCCAGCTAATAAATTTTATTAAAAGTCACGATCTTTCATGAATTGCAGCTCACTTCATCATTTCAGTCCATGAAAAGCATTTTTGCCTTAAAAGAATATCTTAAAAAGAATTGCTAGTTGGAAAACCAGATTCCTGAGTTTTTACTATCATACATGGCTCTTCTACAAATAAGATACAGTGTTTGTTGCTGCCCTCTTATGGTATCTGGCTCATCTAAAAAAATACTAATCCAGTTTACTTTTATTGCGATAACCCATGTATCAATGATATGGTGAATACGGTATGCCTATCGTTCTATTATTGTATAACAAAATGTATACAGCCCTAACAGCAGTCCAAAATAATAGACAGTAAAAAGAGTATTTTAAGAAGTTACATTGTTTCATTCTCCAAAGAAGATAAAAATCACTCTGCCAGTTTTCAGCTATTTCAAATTCCAGAAATTTCAAAAGCCACACATACACAAATAGCCACTACAATTTGTGACTTAGCTGCTAAGATCCTGCAAAACTCCAGATTCTGTCATCATAATTTAGTAACAAAACCCTCAATTTAGAAACATGAGGTTTTTTTGTCAATACTTAGCCATCAAAAGATGTAGCGTAATGGTGTTAAGCCTCAGTGAAACTTCACATCTACTGTTGCTTTATCTCAACACTCAAATTGATTCCTACAAAAGGAAACATGACCTCAGTTGCCCTTCCTCCAAATTGTAGTCCCTGATAAGAAAAAAAATATTTTCCTTAAACTTAGTGTTGTGTGAATACTAGTCAATTAAAGTTTATTTAACATTAATCAAAACATGGCTTGACAGAAATATATGAAGCCAGGCAGTAACTATTGACTATTGAAAGCAGAAAAGCAGCTAAACTAAAATTAGGTATTACAGCTAAACATAAAATAAAGCAAATACAAGAATACAATTTTCATTTTAATTAAAATTTGCTCAGGGGAACAAACTTTGGGGAACATTTGAGGAAGAGCATATTTTTAACTATAGTTAATTGTAGTGATCTGTTGTGTCTAGCAAGACCCTGGTGTCATGTTTTGTGGCAAAAAAGCACAATTCTCCATGCTTGAGAAGATTCCAGAGATCATCCAAAGTGGTAGGTAATTCTTTTAAATAGAGATTTTTTCCTTGATGGCTATTTAGTTAGCATCAACTTTCATTTGAATAGCATAAAGAGCTTCAATTGCACACTGAAGGCAGGGGTGGCATAACCAGCAAGTTGCACTGTCAGGATGAAACATCGGAAACAGCTAATTTGTACCTGCATAGCTACGAAACTAAGCTAGTGTGGGAATAATAATCATTTGACTGAAAGAAGATCATGAATATTGCTTCCTTTCCCATAAGTTTTATTCCATCATCTCTCTGTTTAACCGTCAAAAGCATTGACAACAGATATCTGTATTGGCTAGAACCAAGAATTCCAATCTGGATTGAAACACGCCAGGAGCATTGTTAAGGAATGAATCGAAGAATTCATTGGAATTCATCCTGTACAAATTATCTCACTGATTACTTGGGAATAAACAAGATCCGATAGTCAACTTAGGCATGAAAGTCAGATGAGCGACCTTGGACAAAATCATTCTCTCAGTCCAACTCATCTCATAGGGTTGTTGTTCTGGGGAAAATAGGAGGAAAGTATGTGTGTTTGCCATCTTAACTTATTTATAAAATAATAAAGATGGGGTAATTATTTAGTGTATGGCATGTCATACATAGACTAGCTATGTAAATTAACATTTCAACCAGATTAATACAACCCAATGAAATATAAATGTAAAAAAAAAATCTATGTTCAAATATCAATGTCTAGACCAAACATGTCAAACTCACTATGTCACGTAATGTATCAGAACTTTCCCCCCATTTCTGGAAATGGGTAGGGCGCGATTTCCTCGTGACACGTCCAGCCCATGGGCTGGCAGTTTGACACCCCTGGTCTAGATCATTTAACCATTGAAGCGTAGCATTGTTTATATTTAAAAAAAAGATAATGGACCAGTATATGCCCTCACATTGCAGCTGGTCATGATGTGATCTAGTTTGACATGGGATCCTGCAGTCACATTTGAGGGGAGGATACTATGCCCCATTTATACAGAATCCTGGCAGATGCTGTGTGAGTTGCAAATCCTATTCAGGATTGTCCATTGCTGACATGATAGTTCAAAGCCTGGAACTTTTATGAGGGTCATTTATATGTCTTCCTATAACTGGGCGTTTAGTGATTCATTTGGCTTTCCATTGGGAATTGATGTTAAAATTGTTGGGCAGATGTTGTGCAAGTGCCAGTGGGGGGTTCCTTGATTTGAGTCTTCCTGCTGATAAATGAGGAAGGTCAGCATTGGTAGGTCTGAGTTGTTGGTAATTTTTCTGTATTCTCACTAGTGCATCTTGCCTTCGTAAGGTTGGCAGTGCTATATAGCTCAAAGCAGGAAGTCAGCAAATTGGAGTGGTTTTAATATATCCTCATGGTGTTATTGAGTCTGGCGGAATAAAAAATTAATAAACAATTATGATTCCGTGGGCCAAATGTGCAGCAAAGTGCTGGCACAAGCCTGAGCTATGGACTCATCAACTTTTAGATGTAAATCAAAAATCTGTATTAGTAGAATTCTGTACGGGTGTCAAACTCACCGTGTCACATGACGTGTTGCAACGTATCGTGACTTTTTTCACATTATTGGAGCTGGGGTGGACATGGCCCCTGCATGATGCAACTGGCCTGCGGGCTGGCAGTTTGACACTCCTGAACTACTGTTTTCTCTGTTTTGAACTTCATATTATGAAGTTAAAATTGAGGCCTAAAACTACAAAGAGTCAAGAAATTAATAATTTTTTTGTATATTAAAACATGGCATCAGTAATACATATCACAAGAAAAGTGAGATTTGGGTGTTTTATGTTGAAGTTGAAAGTACACATTTTACAACAATATTTAAAACAATAGTCTTAATAAAAATACAGCTGAGATACTTCTCTTACACAAATCAATCCTATTTCATTTCAATCAACTACTAACATTGAAACTGGAGGTTTAGTTGCTTGTAATCTTCATACCGACATAGTCATCACTTTCTTCATATTTTATAGCCTTTGAGAGCTGAGCTGGTGTGGTACCATACATTGGGACATCTGTATATAGGATGATGGCATTGAGAAAATATTGTAATATACAATAACAGTTTTCTTTGATTCTAGATTGGTATTAGCAATTCTGGCAACTCAGAATGTATGTACAATATTCAGGGGACACAAAGGGATGAATTTCAACAAGCTTTGTGAATTCATGAGATCCAAAGGAAGCTGGGCAAGAAGAGAGGGAGAAATCTTGTCAGAGTCACTCTTTGAACTTCCATTCCTGTCGGCACATTGGACAATGCTGTTGAACTTGTTGAGAATTAAGCCACTTCAGTATGCAGTGCATGTGGAAGCAGTGTGAACACTGTCCCCACACAAGAGGACAATCATCTCCAGGTACCTTACCTGTAAAACAAAAATGTTAATAGGGCAAAATCAAAGGAATACTCAGCTCAAGAAGACAAAAAAAAATTAAGATTAATACTTACAGTCAGGGCAGCATCCATTAAAAGCCATTCGACAAATGCCGCAGTTCTCATCATTAGCAACCCAGAGCCAGGAAGCAACTCCATGCCAGCTCTTGATTTTCACCTTCATTGTATCCAGATTACTAAGGTCAGAATAGTATCTGAAGGGGAGGAAAAAAAAAGAGGCTAATTGCAATTTCTTTTGTTGCTTTTTATATAGTTTAAATATGAAAAATTGTGTTATTTAAAATAGCATATTTTCCATACAGCTTCATAGCTTTTAACAGTTCTGTGCCATCATTGTTGCTAACAATTAAAACTTCGTACTCCTTGGTTGTTTTGTTTCTCAACCTTGACAATTTTAAGGCCTGTGGACTTCAACTTCCAGAATGTGAACTTCAACTCCCAATGCTGGCTGTGGAATTCTGGGAGTTGAAGTCCACATGCCTTAAAATTGTCAAGGTTGAGAAACGCTGTAAGAAACTTTATTACTCAACTAGGGAACATTTTCAGTGCTAAAAGGGATGGGGGGTTTGCATTCTCTGCACAGCAGTTTGCCCTATCAGTGGGAGTGTTATCTTCTTGCTAGTTATAGCTTGATTGTTGGTCTGCTATTAATCCTGGTGTTAATCTCTGCTTATCTGGATGTTGATTGCTAGTGAGAAGGTGTTTTGGTCTTTTTATTTCCTTTGTTAATTGTCTCTTTTGAATTGTAAATAAAGGTTCATGTAAATCAGCGGTTCTCAACGGCCCCGCGGCGCGCCCCCCATGCGCGGCGCGCATGCGCGACGCTGCCCCGAGGGGGAAAAATGGCAGATCGCGTTGTTTGGCGACCCCCGTAAAATGGTCGTTCGACCCCAAATGGGGCCGCGACCCATAGGTTGAGAACTGCTGATGTAAATGATAAATGTATGATAAATGTCATCTATTGCATTTACCAATTAAAGGATGGCATAAAGAAGATACAGGAGAAAAAATATCTTAAACGGTTGCTGAATAAGATGCAACTGAAGCTTGATTCCCAACATGCCTTCTATGAATATTTTTGGGGAAGAATTAAAATAGGAAATCTATCTTGCAAAATGTTTTAAAGTTCACCTCTCTTTTGCTTGCAACTGGATGTTTAATTAAAAAAATAGCATAGGTGAATAAAAATAAATAAAGTTGCTTTAGGTATTAGATTCTTTAAAATTATATTAAACATTTTAGAAAAGACTATAAACCATGAAACATGAATGCATATAAGAATAAAAGCATAAAATATAACAGTAGAACAAAAATAATCATAGAATCTAAAATGTAATGGAGGTTAGTTTTTCACTATATAATTATAAAGTTATGACACATCATTTACTAAAGGAGATACAAAAGCCCTAATTAATCAAACTAAAAGTACAAAGTACAAGTAACACAGTGTAAGCCACTAACTAAAATTATAAGCTATAACAGATTAGGTCACACTAGTAATTTCTTATAAAATTGAAATATAATTGTATAAACACTAAAAAAGAAACTTAGGATGTGGTACAAATCTACAGAGTAAATGATATTTTAGGAAAAGTTACATTTAGACGAGAAAGGACCAAACACCCTTTCTTATACAATTAGCATATACAAAATTAGTTCTGCATACTTGGAAGAAATGTATGGTTTAGTAAAATTTAATAAAAATGTGTCTCATTGTAATATATACTATTTTCCAAAACTACTGAGCTTTACTGAATTGCCATTACATATGACAAAAAATTATCCACCTTGTTCATTGTACTTCCAATAGTTTCTAGAAAATCAGTTACTAATTGTAGCAATTAGGACATGCTACAATGGAGTAATACAAGCAATGATAAAACATCTTGTAACAATTTTCACTTGAGAACAATATTTGGAGTAAATGTATTCTTCTGCTATTGAAATCCCCATTTTTGCATCTCTATTATAGTATTCAAATTTGGCACCCGTTCAATCATGCAATTTTGATCTATTCCAAGTCCTATTTCCAATTAGTTCTAAGTTGCAATTTTTAAAAGTATTAATTAAAATCTATCTTGCCTTTTCGCCAAAATTAATATAATGGAAAAACATCTTCTACAATTTATACCGGTAAATCTCAATTGCTGTAATTTTACTGTATGCAAACACAGCCAAATTTTAAAATAATCACATCATAAACGCTATAAAAAATTGTTTGACTCTCTAATACTAATCCGTGGCAGGTTTCTCGTTAATTACTAGCTTTGCCATTACATTTTTCTTTACGTGTTCTAGTATTGCAAACTTATAACCAACATTGTTTAATTAAGCCCCACCTTCGGGGAAAGGGGCAGAATTCTGTTTTGCCTTTGCTTTCTATTATTTAAAAACATTCCGCGCAATTCCAAAATTGGATTAATACTTCCGAAGCATTGCCTTGCTATTACTATCCTATTGTTTTGATTGTTTATAACACTTTAGTACGGCACTAGGAAAAACAGGCGTGTTGAGAGAAAAGGCTCGGAAAGTGAAAACACGTCACACTAGCTGACTTCGCACGACACACTCATTCCGGGGTTTACCTAAATAAGTTGTAAGTTCGCAAACATAACACGCTAACACATGACTAGGGTGATAGTACTTCAGAGGCCCCTGCGAATGCCGTCTGCGTTTCTTTCTCTTCCAAAGTCTAAAAGAGAAAGCTCCACCCACCACACCTCCCACCAACAGCCGCCGCTGCCCCTCCCTTTTTATTGTCTTCCCCCCTCCCCCCGCACCAACCTTCGCGCCCAAACTCAACTCTTCCCAGCCACCACATCGAAGGTCCCCGCCCTCTCTCAGGCCCCCATTCCTATAAAAACCTCGCCGAGGGAAGGCAGCCTTTTATTTCTTTCACGAAACCAAGCTTGTACGCTTACGCTCTTTTCACCCCTCCATTTCTTAATCCAGCCTTATCCGTTTCCGGTCCCCGGTATAGCGCGGCCGGAAGTGTAGGCCCAGGAGCCGGAGGGAGCCGCCATCATGGGCGACAAAATGGATATGTCTTTGGACGACATTATCAAGCTGAACAGGAGTCAGCGAGGCGGAGGTGGCCGAGCCGGCGGTGGTCGGGGCCGGGGAAGAGGAGCTACAGGTCGAGGCGGCGGAGCTGGGCGAGGCGGAGCTGGGCGCGCAGGCGGAGGCGGCCCCGTCCGGAACAGAGCCGCTCTGTCCCGGGGAGGCGGCAGGAACAGGCCGGCGCCCTATAGCCGGGTAAGACCTCTCTTAGGAGGTTCTTCCATCTAGTAGTGGGTATGGTCGAGACGGAGTAGCGGCATTTTAAATTTATCGGGGAAGCAGCGTAGGGCGAAATTCTCCGGCGTCTTTAGGGAGAGACGCTCTCTGTTGGGATTTGCGGTCTGGTTCTGTATCCTGGTGTACTCGGGTTTCGTTTAGAGTTAGACCATACATTTGGGAAACAAAAGGAAATTAAAATGTTGAGCCGAATAGAGAAGATGGGGTTATACTGATCGGAACTCTTTCTCTTCACAGCCAAAACAACTCCCGGAAAAGTGGCAACATGATTTGTTCGAGAGTTGCTTTGGCCCTGGTGCTGGCGTGGAAACGGGTGGAAAGCTCCTTGTCTCTAATCTGGATTTTGGTGTTTCAGATGCAGACATACAGGTATGTTTGTTCTTAATAAAGGATCCTGGATAATGCGTAAATGGAATAAACTATGGCATTTATCATAATTTTCATTTATTTTCTGACAATACTACACTAATATTGAAGATTAAAACATTTTAATCTTGGTAAAATCTTTCTGAAATTAATTTATGACAGAGAATTGATTCTCGCATTAGCCAGTAGCATATATTAGCCATAATATTCAACAATGATATGCTATATTTTGAAAGTAATGGCATATACTGTTTTGTTATAAAATATTTGAGCAATTCTGCTTTATTGCAAACCAACTTTCAGGTTCATTTGAACAGTCTGGTCATACAAATGTTTCTTCTGTTAAAGGAACTTTTATTCTGGGTGGCCATTTATATTGTTGAACAAATCTTTGGGCTTGTTCTTGAAACTGCAAAAAATAAAAAATAGTTTATCTAATTCAAATGTAGCTTCAGTTCTTTATTGAAAAACTATTGATGAAATGTTACTGCTATCCTAGGACAAAGAGAATGCTAGGAGACTGATATAATGTAGTGATTAGAATGTTTCTCAACCATGACAATTTTGAGGATGCTGGCTGAGGAATTCTGGGAGTTGAAGTCCATACATCTCAGAGTTAGCAAGGTTGAGAAACACTATTAGAATATTGGCTGGGGAAGGTTCAGATTCAAATCCACATTAGACTGTTAGTTTCACAAGGGGACTTTGATCAGCTGTTATAGTTCGGTCCATTCTCATAGAACTGAAAAGTACAAAACAGATTTTGTATATAAGCTGTCTTGATCTCCTTTGGAGGAACATTGATATAAATGGGAAAAATCAGTAAACATTTTGACGTGAATATTATGTGCAGTTTTTTTAATATTCTAAAAATACCAGCCTCACTGGTTATAAATATACTGATTTATTGGAGGACTTTAGCATTTATATTATAATTTTCTCAGCCAGTACATATTTTGTACCGGTTTTAATTGCTTTAGAATTGTTGCTGCCCAGAGCTACTTGATTGAGGTGGGTGGGTATAGAAAATAAGATTGATTGGGAGATTATAAAGTATAAATCTTTAAATATCAGTTGAAGCAGGAAAAAGACAGCCTTAACATGAGGACTGTTTTATAGACATAAGAGCAAAATTACATGCATATGGATATACTGTCCTCTGTTATACATTTCTAGGCTTTCTGAATAAACTTAAAGACCCTCTTACCATTCTCATACATTAACCTTATTTTTCCATTTTTTTCAGGAGCTTTTTGCAGAATTTGGGACACTGAAGAAGGCAGCAGTACACTATGATCGTTCTGGACGTAGTCTAGGTACTGCAGATGTCCATTTTGAGAGGAAAGCTGATGCTCTGAAGGCTATGAAACAATACAATTGCGTTCCCTTGGATGGTATGTATGCACTTGCTAATCATATTGGGGGTTACACAAGGATGAGAGGTGATCTGACATAGTTTTGGTAATTAACCAGCTACTTGTATATAAGCATTCTCCTTAGGTGACAAGGACCTACATTTAGGGCAAGTATATGGAATACAATGTAATGGAGTAGTGGATTGGTAGAGGAGTGTTCAGTACTCCATTCTTCCTCTATGTGCCCAGAATAGAAATCAATGTTAGAAGAGGGAGATCCATCTTTTCTGAATGGGTCTTTTCCTGACCATTTTCTATTGGCATTTTTGACTGCTAGATTTGTTTTTAAGTTGTTATGATAATGTCATGGACATTAATTCTTTTTATTCTTAGGACGTCCCATGAACATTCAGCTGGTTACATCACAGATAGATACACAGAGGAGACCAATACAGAGGTAAAAAACTTACCTTAATGTTAATTTCTTTGATTATGCTGTTTTCAAGATTTTGTGGTAGTATCAGTATATTATTACTACAGATAGTAGTGGAATCTGCTGTATTCATACAGAAAACCTGAAGTTGAATTTTTAACTTAAAAATGTGGTGTAATCATACTTAAGCAGAGCTTGCTCAACACATTGGGGTGGCTAACATGTTATATGTAGACCAGTCATTTGTATGTAAGGGGAAAAATAAGTGGAAAACATCTTACAGTGTGGTTATTCCTCACTTAATAGACTATTCAACTCATTTTGTGCTGATATATAATATATATTTGCATCTTATATTTGATTTGCTTTCCTTTAAATTAGTTGTCTAACTTTAGAAAAAATGGAAAAATAAATTTACAAAAAATAAACAGACTGAATTTCTTGGTAATTGATTAGTCATGATTCCAGAAAAAAAATTAAAATGGGGATAGTGGCACTTTTATCATTTTCCAAATAATAGTTACAATGCAATTCCTCAAATAGCCAAAATTGGTATTTAATCTTATATACTTCATATTGCAACCCTGCTGTCCAGCAAAAAGATTTTCTATTTCACAGTTTAGATTCCCTCATACTGTTAATTGATTATTATCATAAACCAAAGTAGGCCTACTGCTTATTACGTACTCTGGTACCTAAAATAGAGGCTAGGGAAATTCTGTATTTTTCTAAAGTAATTGTACTCAAAGGGCCTCCAGTTTATAAGAGATATCAGATACAACAATTCACTTTTGTGGTTTGTTGATCATGTTCTGTCATAATGCTCACTTTTACATTAGCCTCTAAACTGATATACTTTGCATTTTTGCTTGTGTATGTCTGAGCACCTCTAATTTAGTATCTTTTGTGATATTAGTGTAAATAGAGGAGGTATGACAAGAAACCGTGGTGGCTCAGGTGGCTTTGGCGGTGGCAACAGACGAGGCAGTCGTGGCAATAGAGGCAGAGGCAGAGGGGCTGCTAGGAGTTCCAAACAGCAGCTCTCTGCAGAAGAATTGGATGCACAGTTGGATGCTTATAATGCTAGGGTAAGTAATGTATTAAAGAAGATGGAGGCAGAATGTTGCCCCGATGATTGAATTGGCATGTACTTGTACAACTCCCATAACTTTGCAGTAATGTCTTAGTTGAATAACTGATTGGCGTGTATATTTTCAGTTGCTTGTATATTCCTCCTAGGTATGAAAACCACACTAATATGAAGGCAGTCCTGACAACACTAGTTAATTATGATTCTAGTATGATTATCTTATCGTATTTATGCTCATTAAAGTTAACATGGTAGAACATGTTTTAAACCACAAAAGAAATCAAGTTCTATAATATAACAGCAATTCTAAACTCTACATTTTTCATGAATGTATCCAGACATAATTTGCTTTTTTTATTGCTATTCATGCTTGGGTCAGATTGGGTAAACTGCTGTATTTTATAATAAACATTATTTGGAACTAGAATTTTATTTGTGTGTGCACACATGTATACATGCATGAATGCATAATCCATAATGGTTATCTCTAAGGCCATGGTACTAGTGAAACATAGAATTAAAATTACGGTCTATTACATATAAGCATCTTTAATAAGTTATCTCCACTGAATGATGATCCCTGACAATTAGCATGTATTAAACCAGAAGGCCTGTATTTAAATTGAGATAGGTTCAGATATGTATGTATACATATATAAGAAAAGAACTCTCCATCTTTTTTAAAGACTCATGAAAATCTAGAATTGGGGGATTGTGCTCTTCCAAGTATTTTAAAGCTGAATTGCAAATCTCGTGAAAAAAAATCCTTTTCTGGGTGTGACTCTACCTTGAAATGATTCATGGCAAAATATGTAATACCAGAGCTATGTTTGCCACTGGAGAATCACTATGCCTAGCCTGTTGCTTTCTTAAGTTTTTACTTAATTGTTTACAGCCAAATAATTGTCTTTTCCTTTCTTTCCAGATGGACACCAGTTAAATCTGATGATGCGTCACATGCATGGAAAGGACTGCAGACATCTCATTCCATGCTCCCTAGTGGGAGGGAAAGGGTGTATAGCGGCGGCTACTAATATCAAGAATGGAATTTGTTTTACTTTTATGTTTCGAAATAGGTTTTAAACTCATGTAAAGGTTTCTTTCTTTTTTTTAAATTCTGAAACAGATCTGTTTTGTACTGAGTTATTTTTGGGAAAAATTTTACTGGTTGCCTGTTGGGCCAAAGTGG